CCTAGTCCTCTTAGAGATTCTTCAACCTTTTTGCTCTCATTCTTTCTCATGAAACCATTGTCTATATGTACAGCTATCACCTGGTCTTCCTTCAGTGCTTTGTGAAGTAAAGCAGCACACACTGTGGAGTCCACACCTCCACTTACCAACATCTAAAAAATACAATAAATTACAATTTCAGCAACAGTACAACAAGGGCTTTGTAGCAAGGCAACACTCAACATACCTACAGTAACCAACATCTGAAGAAAACATTTTAACAATAGTAACAATACAACAAATATCCAAAGTACAACAGCGTTACTGTTTAACCTGGTAAGTTTTCATCGAAAATTTTGAATATTACACTTTCAATACGATGACATTTAATTTGATATTACAATTTATGACATAAAGCTCTGAAAACTCAATTTGGCACTCATCAAAATTTCAGGGTACTGTTACAAAAAATAATGCGTAAAAAACTAAATAAATATAAAAAAACATTCAAAATAAAAATACTGATAAAGTTTAGGCATTCAAAAGTCTACATAAACATTTTCGATTACTTACAAGTACTTTGTGATCGCCCACAGTTTTTCTTATATATTCTAAACAAGCTGCCTCTCTCCCCTTCATGTTGTAAGTGCCCTTACACTCTGCTATACCATACAGGAAGTTCTTCAGCATAGTCTTCCCATGGGTTGTCAGGTCCACCTCGGGGTGAAACTGGACTGCGAACATCTTCAGTTTTTCATTGGCTATAGCTGAGGAGATAAATGGGAATTATTGGTTAAAGTATTTACAGCACCAATGTTAGCAACTTAAGGCAAGTGTAGGATGGTAGTTTGCTAGTGTGTGTGTGTGTGTGTGCATGCGTATGTGTGCACGCGCATTCTCCTGTAGTATTTCTGAATATTAAATATTCCACTTTTTTTAACCACATGAATACAAGCACTTGCATTAGATTGCTTGTGCCTCAGAGTGCATATGATCATTTAAAAGTATGTAATGATACCAATCAAACACATGAAATGCATTTGTGTATGTACGTGTATTTGTACACATGTGCATGCATGCCTGACACAAGCACAAGTTCTGACCTGCCACAATATTTCCAGAAAAGGCCACCTCCTTGAATCCATCTGCACAACTACCCACACTGTCTCCATGTGTGAGTAGCACTGGCTCCTCTGGGTCACAACCTCTGGAATTATACTTTTATATGTATATATAACACATACATTTCCCACATTCACTATCTGGAAACTTTGGGGTCTGAAAATGTGTTTGTATTGTGTGAAGCTTTGGGTTAGGGTATTTACAAAAGTTTCAGTTACTGTTCTCCAAGATTTGTCCCAGATAAACAACAATTTGATAATCATTACTTGATGAGTATGTAGAGTTTACTTTACAAAACATGTAGTCATAAACTATATGTTAAGATCTAATCTTCTGTACTGTTTATTAACCGAGCTTTTCACACTATTCTACGTAATTGCTGCGCTAGGAGACCCAGTGTTATTACAATGTGTATTGTATTTAATCTTTCTGAAAAAGAAAGGAAGGAGGGATGGAGACGGAGGAGACTCACTTGAACAGAGAACATTCCAGATCCACTTTGACATTGAACTGTCCATCTTCTCTGGTTTCTTTCTTCTCTACCACACCCCCAAACTCCTTGTTCATCATCTGGCATATAAATATTATAACAATAAATATTATTTTTATAACAACAACTGTTAAAACTCACTGAATTCAAATTAAAAATTTTGATTTTCAAAATATGCCATTTGATACAAATTTAATATCAAGAGAAAATGACTGACAAATTTTGAAAAGCAGGTCAAGCAAAGGCCCTGGAAAAAATCAGTGGATTTTTCACACTACTTCTAAAATGTAATGATACTATGAATTTAAACAGATTTTGCTCTAAATAAACAGAACATACATGCAAACCATAACAAATTCCTAGGACTGGTAGTCCACAGTGAAATATTTCTGGGTCATATTTAGGAGCATCTTCATCATTGACGGAACTAGGACCTCCAGATATGATAATGGCTCTGAAAAACGAAAATCCAATCTCTTACATATTTGCTATTCCTCTTCAATATTTTGGGATCCCTGAAAGTCCTTTTTCTTTTATTCTTTAATTATTTTTGGACCACTAAAAGAGCCTTTTCTGTAAGTCTAACTTAATTTTTTTATTTTTGTGACACATTATTATACTTATCCAATACATCATTCCCATTACTCTGTGATTATTTTGGATAACAGTAAACATTATTCCAGTTATTCCAACTTAATATTATATTATGTTTAGAACACATTATTTCACCAGTGTCATTTGATAGAACACATAAAGGCAAAGAACTTACACAAAATGTAAGAAAAAGCTAAGAAAAATCAATTTAAGACCTCGAAAGTGCAAGTAAAATCCTTACCTGTATCCAGTCTCCTTCAGGGCAAAGGCGGGGGTATCCAGGGGTAGGATGACCGACTCCACACACAGTTCTCTTACTTTACGATCTATTACCTGGAAAGGTGAATAGTAATAATAATAATAATAATAATAATAATAATAATAATAATAGTATAATTACATTTTTTAAATAATTTTCATTTAATATAACAGAAGCAAAACAGCTTATTAATCAGTAATATATAAGTAATAAAATAAGTTATCATAATACTAATAACAAACATCATTGCTCTTATTATTATTATTATTATTATTATTATTATTATTATTATTATTATTATACAGATGACTTAGGGCTTTAGACAAATTTTTTAGCCACAAAATTTTTTGTTTAGTGAAACACAAAAATTCCAATGCATCAAATTATTTGTAAGTGGTTTGTCTGCACAAACAACACTTCGGGTTAGTAAACACTGAATAAATAAATATAGCTCTATGGAACACCTGTTCTTTATCAGCTCTCAGGTTTCTAAAAATACTCCTACAGGAAAAGTAGTTTATTAATAGAACACCTTCCAGCATTGTAAACAACATGCACTGGAAAGATCAATCACATGGGGTCTATTTTTCAAGAGAACTAGAGATAACAATTTAGGCTGAAGATTTTTTTTTTTACTTAGATATTCTAGTCTGTATAAAATGTGTAGTGGTCAAGTAAAATGTCTCTCTTGTTATAAACCAGGTGTTACTAATTTCATCAAATTAGACAACCTCTGTGCTACTTAATTTAACCCCACAGATCTATTTATGTGTACAGGCTGTGCATGCACACACAGATGCATGCACGAGCACACACACACACACAGACACACAGACACACACACACACACAAGGATACGTTAAGTTTAACCTCACCTTTCCATACTGTGCTCCAGCGTCCAGTATTGCCACAGTGTCTGTATGCTGCTCAAGTAGATCTCCATTCACCTGAGCCGCCAGCACCTCCCCACCATTCATTCTGCTACAGCACAATGTAGTACCAATTGTCCTATGTGATACATACAGAAACAATAGCATTAACAGTACAATGAATATATAGTAGTGTTACAACAATGATGCTGATTGTAAGTATTTCTAAACCAGTCATTCTGCTATAGCACAATGTATTACCAATCGTCCTATTCACATAGAAACAGAAACAGAAACAACATTATTAACAGTACAATGAATACACAGTGTGCTTTTATAACTGCTTCAATGACCCTCATTCAGTATTTCTACGCCTGTCATTCTGCAATGTGCAGCACAATACGTGATAAACAATAACATTAACTATTTACAATGAATCTATATATACTGATGTTACTATGTCTCTGGCATTAGCATCTCTGTGCAGAATATATACAGTAATACAGCAATTGTTAGTACTCTGTGATAAATACAATTTGTCAATGAATCTATAGTAGTCAGTGTTACAATAATGACTTTGCTTATGCCATTCATTCTGCTACTGGTACAGTTTTTATAACATGGAGTCCCAATAATTGCCTGCATGTCTGATAAGCATCAAAGCAATTACGATTTCTGTAATAATGCCAAATGCCAATAACACTAAATGGGTTATATCACTATTTGTAGGTCGTTAAGAGTACAATAAATATTTAGACTGCCCTAAGTAAGAGAGGCCTGATAGTAACAATGGTGTAACTAAACAGAATTACATGGTTATTCCCATGTACATTAAAAGAACTTTTCAATTTTTTTTGTTTCTGCCCATCAGTGCTACTACAGTACTAGTAAACAAGTTCCAGAATGCAATTGCATTGTGCGTAACTTAAGTACAAAAGTACTGCATAAGCTCATTATTTAGCATAGGCATATCACAGACATACACACACACACATACAAATACAGAGTATGAGGGGGGAGAGAGGGAGGGGGGAGAGAGGGGGTGGTACTGTAATTTGGTTTGACATTGAAAGTGAAACTGCCTTTCATATCTTAATTTCCAATGCCAAAACTCACGTTAGCCAAAACATCGACGACCTCTGTGACAATCCGAGATGTAATTAGAAGTAATTATGAGTAATTTCACGCAATAGGAGCACTGTCGCTGCTTGCTGCAGTCGTGAAGATTGCACTGCACTCGTTGACATTAAACCAGCACACACACGTGAGAAACTTGATCAACAATAACAATGTCCATTTCTCCGCAGAACAATTTAACTGATCATTTTAAAAATAATGATGAAATTATCCTAGGATAATGCATTTCAACATAAATCAAACGTCACAGCATCAATGTGAGGAGGCGTAATTAAAACACTTACAAAATTTCACGAGACAGTCCTCACGCTTTTTCCGTCTTCTGTTCGCGGAGTTTGTAATGCGCATGCTCGATTATGGAATCGCGGAAAATCAGTTCCTGGCATCTTAATCGAACTAAATATCATTTTATGTAAAAGAAATTCAGTCAAAACTAACATATAAATAGTATAATGTATTTTTTCTCAGAACAGTTACTAAAAATATAAATTTAAATATTTTTACATCTTTCCCGAGTTGAATGTAATCCCGCAGATGGGTAACTAACGACGCTTCGTGACAACATAATACAACCCATGTGCTTGCAGGTGCCCTGTCAACAACCACACTACCAGAAGGATAAGACGCTAAGAACAGGTGAGTGAGGATTAAGTAAATCTCCAACTTGAGTTTGATATAGGATATATCGATGGGATGAAGGGTTGTATAATCTTCTAATTGTAAATATGTTACGAGCTCAAGCACCTGCTAATTTATATACGCGTATTTTTTATAATTAAAGAGACAGCGAGATATTTGGCATGAATCACTAATAGTTTTTTTCCTTTTTTAATGGTTAAAACCTATATGTACCATTACCGTAATTTCACACTGGTCGCACTTATTGCTATTGGGTTTTGCCATATTTTGTCCATGCTCAAAAATATATATAGTTGCACTGACACAGGCCTAGCTATATTTCTTTATAAATTATTTTGACTGAAAAAAATATTTAGTGTATATTTATTTCAGAGAAGATTAAAGATATAATAAATACATTCTAAAACTAAAGCAGTTTATTATCCAGCATATGCAAATATGCTATAAAGATGGTTTAATTTACGCATCATGCAAATGAAATGTATGGACCTATTATTGTATATAACGATAACATATACCAGTTTTTCATTTCTGCCTTGTAGAAAACAATAAAAATCAAAAGAGAAATACTCAGCAAAATGGAGCCTACCACAGGAGAAATAGATGTGTACACCAAAAGACTGAGACAGCCCAATGACCAGTATACAGTCCTCACGGACACACAAATACAGAACAACCGCAAAGTAAGAAACATTTTCTTAATACGTTAAATTTCAACAAACAACAGCATATTGGACAGTACCTGTGAACATTGTATGTAGAATAACAGTGTACATCAATATTCCCATGTAAAATATAACAGCTAAGGAATAAATTACAGTGATAGTTCACATGCTTGTGATGTATGCAGGGATAATCCATGCTTTAATTCTTAAATATCTCTCTTTAAAATTGGGGATTTGGTGTGTAATGTGAGTATAAATTTGCCCATGAAATTACACAAATATTTCCAAGTTGCATAAATCTTATAATTTATTTATTTATTCAAACTAATGCACTATTTTAGATAAATTGTTTTATCCAGCATCCAAATAATCAATATCATCAAACAAATTTAATAATGTGAATCTGATATATTTTATATTCTCTTTCAGCACCCTAGCATGCATTTCCATTTCTCACAGCCAAAGGTCGTACCAGATAAGCGATGGTGGGTGCCCCGCTACTGCAACCACTTCAGCCAGCACCTGGTTCGCGAAGTATCCCGCAACCAGCCATACTGCTGGCTGGATTACCAGTGGGACCAGAACCCACACCCGGACCAGACTTCCTGCCGCCAGGGGGCGTTTGAGAAGTGGGGACCCAAGAGGAATGGTAGGAATCTTACTCATTTTTTTTTTCAGAAGTTTCTGGTTCTGGGTTAAAATGCTAGTACTGTCTCTTGAATGATGCAAAAAGGATGTTGTCATAAAAGTCATGTACATTGTCATAGACCAGTCATGCTCGTGCCTTTTTAAAATTAACTTAAACTTGTCATTAAATTATCATTTTTGAATGATGTTAGTTAAAAAAATCAAAACTGAGTTTGTTTTAGTCATCCCTACTGGACAGCGCTTGGTATTACAAGCAAGGTCATTATTTTATGAGCTTAATCATCATAATACACATCGTATTTTTGTACTATTAGGTGAGAAGACATATCGCCATTTCGACGGAGAGCCCACCAGGAGTTTCCTCAATATCGATGTGTACAGACCACCAGCCAGGTGTGAATACGGCCCCACGGTGATGGACTGCGGAAGACCTGGGGTGGGATACCACCAGCAGAAATATGCATGTAAGTATAATATGAAGCTTGACTGGGCCCTCTCTCACCAAAGAGACAAAATCCAAACATGGTCTTCATCTTAAGACTGGAAAGATTTTAATTGTGTACTCTGACAGGGGATAAATTAGTGCAAGTCCTTTGAAATGCTCGACAAGTATCTAGTTTAAATTTATTGCATTTGCTGTTAAACATTCTCTTTTGAACTGACTATTGATGAATAAATAAGTATCAAAGTACATCAAAAAACATTTTCTGTTAACATCTCAAAGCAACTAGTATACAGGCTTAACTAACTACTTTCACTTTTAACCCACTTTCACTTTCTGTTTTCAGCTCAGAGCACCTGGTTTGGTTCCTCTGTCCCTCTGAATCGCACAGACATCCTGCAGACCATCAATCGTAAGACCACAGCTGAGTACAAGGCACTCCAGAGGCAGGAGCAGATAGATACACAGAGAGTGGACCAATGGCCAGAGTATTCTGAATATACCGATAAATTCATCATGAAAACAAAGCCTTCCCCCAGGTTGAATAAGTAAGTGAAGGAACTGTGATCATTACAGTATGATAACTTTTAAAGATATGTTGTTGTTGTTTTTTTTTTAATTTTTGATATTATTTTATTTAGAAAACATAGTTTAAACTTAGTAATAACTACATAAGATAATCCAAAAATCCGAAAAGGTGAAAGTATTTTTTGTGAGAACATAATATTTAAATTACTAAAAATGATAGTCTCTGAGTGTGAAATTAGAGTTATCTTCTTCAATATGCTTTGAAAATTGTTACTTATTATATGCAATAATATATTCAATACTATCTTTAATTAATAATACATGGTTTTTGCAAACAAATTATCCTATTCTGTGATCAAGGGGTTTTCTAACATTGCTACTCCATCTTTCTATTTCCAGTCTAGAAGAAAGAAAACGATTTTTGGCTGAGTCCAGACACCAAGAGGAAATAGAGCGTGCAAAACTCGAAGAATCATGGCGACAGTCACAAATTCTGCCAACTCCAAAGGAAATGGAATTTACACCCTATGAGACAAATGTAGAACCAGTGAAAGTAGGCATTTACCCGCATTTACCTGAAATAACAAAAACACCAGGAGCACCTTTGACGGACATATATGTATAAAACAAACTAGGACTTATATACCATTTCCTCTCTTCTGAATACAATGGTTAGGATCTAGATCTGTTCATTTGGTCCCAGAATAAAAAGTGACTAAAGGTGAAGAGACAGCTTCGTTTGAGAGAAGGCTAAGGATGTTGGAACAAGACTTCGTCTGAGAACCATCATGAAGTCACAAAAAGGGATAGAATTGCTGTGTACAAAAGCAAGGCATCTTTGTTAATCCATAGATGCCCAGCACATACAAGCAGGACGATGGAGGACTGATGATGACATTATGCCCAAATATTCAATGAACTCAGTGTTCAGCAAGGGCATAAAGCAGGGAGTACTTAATTCCAGAGTCTGCAAAACAGGGGTGAAGAAGATAGGTTTTGATAAGCACAGTGAAATGTAACTGATGGCAGTATTGCACACAGGAGCTTAGTATGAGGAATGCATGCACCTCAAAGCCATTATACTTCCATGACAAGCTATTTATAAATGACTCCTTGTCGCTTAAATATATATACATATTGAGCCAAAATACTGGTCTTATATTATGTGCTGAAGTGCCATTGCATACTTGTACTTTCTTCATCATACAGAGAATGACATTGTGGAACTGAAGTATTTAAATGGTATTAAAATTTAATGAAAGAAATTTACAAATTGAAATCCATATACTTTGAATGGCATTAAATACATTTTTCACCAATGTGAAACAAAAGTGACATGCCTTAAATCAAGATTAAAATATTTATTTATATAATGCAAGGCATGAGATTGTTACAATATCTTTACATAATTCATCATGTGCATTGTGAGAATGTAAAATTCACAGTAAACTAAATCATTTTTAAATTATTAAAATAACAATATCAAAAGGGTCCACTTCAGAACAAGTAATAAAAACTCTGGTTCAGTCCACGTACAACATTCTGGAATAAAATATAGTCATCATCTTGAAACATTCACTTTGCTAACATTCGTCTACCCATGCTGTGAAATTTTTATAATTCAGCCAGTATATATCAAGTCATAGCCTACAATATGTTTCTGAATACAGCACCCGCATCTTGATTTGACTAATTAATAAGGAATGGATGATTTCCAGAGTTCAAAAACTAACCAGTGAACTTTTTATATATCACATACTACTCAGTGTATACTGAGGCATGAAGATTGTTATCATATCAAATGGCCTCTTGTTGTAAGGTAATTAAAATGTTACCCAAAATTTAAAACTTTGATCATTTAATTTTTAATGATCCCAATTTTCTTTCATATTCCATTCAATAATTATTTTACTTACATGTTTTTAATTCTTTTTTATTGTATATAGTATAAGTATTGTATATATCATGAATAAATCAACATGTAATATATAAGTCTAATCCCAGTTTTTATTTCATTGCTTTTTTTTTTTTTTTTTTTGAGAGAGAGAGAGAGAGAGAGAGAGAGAGAGAGAGAGAGAGAGAGAAAATGGAATATTTATACCAACAACCATCAAGAAATAAGTGCTCTTAAAAGTATGGAAATATCTGTGAACAAAATTGTAGTAAAGAAAAAAAATTTTTAACTAGAAGAGATGGGAGCACCCTGAATTTCAATCTCTTTAAGCAGAATGCTTCTGCATGCTGTCTGCAGCAAGCTCTGGTACTTGGGGTTGGCATAAGAAACATCTAAATAAATTCCTTTCCTCTGCAACTTGACAGCAAGAATTGCTACAGTAACCATGGTAACAACATTATAAAGATTATAATAAAACAGCTGCTTATCAACATGAAAAATATGTATAATATATAAGTAATTCTGATATAAAATTATATTAATTTATCATCAAGCATTATAAAATAGGAAATTGCAAATACAATTAACTTTCAACAAATAATTTCATCAGCTGAGCTATGCAGTCAAAGTTACAACTGTTACAATAAATTTGTCCAACAGCTAAAAACCATAGTAGATGTAATCTGGTTATATTTTCTAACTGCACTCCAAGGTAGGGGCTACTATAAGAACACATACATTATGATAGCTTCATTCCCTGCTGATGGCATCTTGTCAGACATAGAAATATTGGAACAAAAACTGGCTGTAATTATTGGAAAAATACAATACTGTAACATTCTAGGGTGAAACCAGCATCACTGCCACCAAATATAACATATTTAGCTGTGCTTTATTTAATAAAAGTGCTTTCCTTTTGCATTTAATTTTACGTATATATATAAATAACATAATAATTATAATACATTTGTAAAAATGTGACTAGAAATTAGAAGTATGAGTATAATATGAACAGGTTAGGAACATAAGTTTTTAAAGCAAAAGCAAATTTAAATAAATATTCTATCTAAATGGTTTCAAGTCACCACATGTATCAAATATCACATATGACCTTGTCACAGAAAACATCCATACTTGCCCTTTTCAGTCCTAGGAGCAGTGTTAGAAATTAAGGCTGGGCTGTCTGCCCGGGGCTGACAACTTTCAGAACGGGCTGAGAAGTTTTCCCACCCGGCAGACATTTGAGCCAGCTACTTTTCAAGATGGCTGAACTTTCGGTCCAGCAACTAATTTTCCTAAGAGGCAAACACTGCCTAGGAGCATTGGTTTTTTTATCCCATTGGAAAATTAGTTTACTAGGTTCCAGAAAACTGCTGATTCCAATCAAAATATTATTATTTTTATTAGTTCAAAGATGGAATATATAATATCATCTAAGGGAAAATAACCCAACACCCAAAGCTAAAATACTCCCACTACTTTAATCTGAAAAATAAAGCTAGTCACTTAATTTTTTTTTTCATTAGTTACATGACACATATGCAAAAATGTTATTCTACTGCTGCTGTCTTGCGACAAACATACTATCTATTATACAGTCTATTATAATCATTATGATCACATATAAAAATTGTTTTAAAGCCAAATAATATTTCAGATAAATACATACGATATATATTCCATCTTAAAGAAAAGAAAACATTTTATTGCCTAGGCACAGTGAATGCACCTGGTTAATAATTATTATTGCTAAAAAATTTCCAAACACCAACAAGTCAGCCACCTTTTTCTTATATTTATCATTACAAAACTTTCCCTTCTGGCACTAATTATAAGTCATCTAACTTTTCTAAACTTTTGAGTCTACAATTTAGAGTATGACTTACAAAAATTGTCAATTCATTAGGTTTAAATTATTAAGTTATGGCCAAATGATCACATTTCCAGTAAACCCAGCTGCTTAATCGCCTTAAATTGATCCGGAATCTCCATCAGAGCAGCCAGTGCAAAAGCAGCCTGTGGATTCCTTGCGTCCCTCATGGCCAAATTAAAGTCAACAAACTGAAAGTTATCAAACCGTCTCTGTGGAATGCTGTCATCGAATTCTTTCATCATGTCCCAGGGGCCGTCCCCCACACCAATCATAATGATTGACAGTGGGTATTGTGCCGCCTCCACAATGGCGTGACGTGTCGCCTGCTCATTGGTTACTTGACCGTCTGCCACAATGACCAGGATGTGGTACTGCAAATAAATAAATTTTATGTTCAATAAATAAATAAATAAATAAATAAATAAATAAATAAATAAATAAATAATATCTAATGCATAATAATCAAAATCATACAATGTTACATTTGCTTCGATGCACGTCTGATGCTCTAAGATGTAACACCTTTCATTTTTATAAAAGTCATAAAGCAATTATTCATCAATAACCTGAAACTTTAGACAGCAAATATGCTCTCAGTAAAAAGTTAAAGCATCCATCAGACACATACCTTACCTAGTCAAAATTCATTGTCTTGGATGATCTATATACATAATTCATTAAGAATGACTGAAGCAACAAATATGAAACAATATAAAAAAAGTTACGACTGCAGTGCTATAACAGAAAGCCACCTACTGCTTTGGTTTGCCTGACAATCTCTAGCGCCCTGCGGATCAGGGGGGCAAAATTAGTTGGTCCACTTAGCTTGACATTCGGGGTAATCTGGTTGTATGCCTCCAGCGCATCATGGAAACCAGTGCAATACCCCTGAAACAGTTACAGATCACATCAAAAATGCCCCAGATAAACATCATGGTTTTTACCATAATATCTTATCTCTGGGATTTTGAGTTTGATTCATCTGATACAAACTGATAAATCCTTTGTAAATTTATAAAACTGTGGATATACACATACATACACAAATAATAAATACATAATTTAAAAAATGAAAATATTGTAAGATAAGACAGTGAAAATAGCAACATCCTTTTTTCTTTAACCAATTTTCACCTTTCATGCACAGAATGTCTTGTATGACAAATCTAGTACATCAATCATGTCGCAGAGTTGTCATTCGTAATACAAGATCACTTTCTATTAGCGCATTCAGATCAGCAGACAAACACATCCATGCATCAAATATTGAGACCCACTTAAAAACTTGCCGTTTGTTCTTCCTATGGACACTGAATAGATTCCGTTCAGGGATCACCCAACAAGCATTCAAGAGGTCGGTCATATTTGATCCAAGGACTAGTTAGTCCACTGTTGTGAATGCAGCCTGACACATTACCTCTGCTCTAAAAGGAAAAACTCCAGTTCCTCTGGTAGACTGGTCACCAAAACCAAACACTGGTATAATGCCATCTTCATCAAATGGCTCTATGGTCTCTCCCAAGATACTGATCACCTGAAAGTACAGAGAGAACAATGCTGTCCTGTCTTGTATACAACACCACCTGGTGGTTAAAATCCTTAAGAGTTTCCGTAAAAATCACAATAAATGAAGAAACAGATGATTAAATAAGTTAGAAAAAAAATCATTAAAAATACTAGTATTATAACAGTCAAAATTATAGAGAAATCCAATAAAATCCAACCTCTAAAAGATGACATACACGTACACATAGTTTTTACTTTATTTTATCTGGAAATATGAAGATAAGCAAAATTTCACATAAATAAAAGGTATTCCAGAAATTTGAAAACTCAGATTTCTGCAAGAAGAAAGGCTCATGGATGGATACGATAAGTTTCATAGTCCAAACTTCAAAAGAGAAGGATCTCATACTAAGAAATGCAAGTATCTGTACACAACACCCTTTAGGCTTGTTTGTGGAACATGATAAAAGGAGGGCATAGCGAATGATGTGGCTGTGCAAAATTGAAAATATACATGTGCATTTTATAGGTAAAATTTACTTTCTATATAGGTAAAATTTACTTTCTAGGGCTAAAGTGACATGATGGGAAGAATTCAAGCATGCATTGGTTGATTCTTTACTATAAGCATGACAGAAACACAAATTATAACAGCCACAAAGCACCCCTTATGTCCCATGTACTTCAAATGTGAGGAGGGTGGTAGTTCGCACTGTTTCTTAAAAGAATTTCAGCCTAAAATTTTGGTCAACTGCCATATATAAGAGTCCACCTAAATGAAGTTACCGTAGGTCTGACACATTTCTATCCATAGATTGTACAGGGTCAAATCAGACTTACTAGTAAATTTTGATCTTAAGATTCAGACCAATTTTTTGGCTCAAGCTCTTTTGTTAAACAGGCTCAGCTAATGCATTGACTTAAACAACTATTATATATAATAAAAAGCAAACCATAGCCTATGAAACACAGTGGAAATTCCCTTTAACACTTGGAGCACATTCAGAAAAGCGAACTAGCAGATCTATGGATCAAATATGGTGAATCACTAAAAAGCTTGCCACTTAATTCCCAATTAGACACTGAACAGATTTCCCCCAAGGATTACACAACAAGCATTCAAATGGGTTGGCCATATTTGATCTGCAGATCTGTTAGTCTGCTGTAATGAAAGGGCTCTTAACTCTTCGACTGCATTCACAACGAGTTTAGCCATGGCTCTGCA